GGGGGGGGGGGGGGGCGGGGAAGATGAATTATCAGGGTTATTTACTTGGGAGGCAGTTGCAGGACCAACCCACTCATCGCCGTTTGAAGAAAAACAAATCCTGTCGACCTGCCACTTTCAGTGGAGCGAATACTCGGAGGGAGTGGAAGGGCTGTAGGGGAGGCTTAATACGATGGATGCGGATGTGGATGCGAGACACAAAATGGCAACAGTCGGCAAGTCATCAGGGAGCTAGGCCCGTTGTGGAGAGGCACTCTCAAACAATACACTTTGAAAGTGATTTGAAAGCCAGTTTTGAAAATTTTTTATTAATTGATTTATTGTGGAGAGAGGGTTTTTCTCCCAGGGCCCAGGTTAGCCTAGAGCTCGTTATGTAACCCAGGCTTGCCACAGACTTGTAGCCTTCTGATTCAGCTTCCCTAGAGCTGGGATTACAGGTGTGAGCCACACCTAGCGCTGCCCCCCCACTTGCGGCTACTTCTTTAGAGAAGGGACTTGAGAATATGCTAGACCCTAGCACCCTAGGTAAATTGTCAAAATTGCAGTGTGGGCTGCATGCCTTCACTCCCAGCAAGTCAACAACTATGGACTGGTAGCTTAGTACTCCACACAGATAGACTTGGTGGCAGAGAGTAGTTGCCTTCGCCCTTCAGAGCAATCAACTGTAGTGGTATTGTGTTTGTGTTTTAACAAACAAAGCTTGCCTGGAGATCAGAGTGCAGAGCTAAGCCACTAGAGGCCAGGCCTCGGTGATACACATCCTTTATACCCGGACTTGGGAGACAGAGGCAGACCAGTCTCTGTGAGTTCCAGGCCAGCCTGGTCTACACTAGATTGATCCAGTCTCAAAGAGAAACAGAGCCAGGCGGTGTTGGTTTACACTTTTAATCCCAGTTCTTGGGAGTCACCCTTCTTCAATCTCCACACTAAGGAGGTGAATAGAGGAAGGGATGTGGCTGGGCAGAGAGAGGAATATAAGGTGGGAGGAGACAAGAGCAGTGCAGTTTGGAGATGCAGTCAGGTGTCAACTGAAGCAGCCGGTCAGAGGACGCAGTCTGAGGACAGGATGGCCCCTTTGGTCTGAGCATCTGGCTGCTCTGCTTCTTTCATCTCCCAGCTTTCACTCTCTAATATCTGTTTTTTTTT